TGCTTCGTTGTACACGATGCGGTGTTCCAGGCATATTAGGCTGACCTGCTGGAAGACCTGGATAAAGGCCCGATGAGGTAGCCGAGTTGCGCCGCACCACGGATCTCACTTTCCGTGCTACTAAGCATGGTTGCTATGGTAGTTATGGAGAGACATCTGTGGGTGAACCTGGCAGATATTGGGATGGAAGAGAGGGGCTTTCTTCTCGATGCGCCAGTTTCACCTTCCGAATTTTTTGGTTACCCCCGTTGAGATGGTGTTGAGAAGTTCAGGGAGGCAAAGGCACGCTCAGCGGCCTTCAATCCTTCATTTCACAATGGTCCAGGTCTAAGCCCGAACAGCATAGGGGTCCTGGTCCGTCTCGGTCTGAGGATCAGAGTTGGCCACAAAAGGCTAGTGTCGCGGCACGCGCTCCTCCCCGACCTGTGGGTAGGGGTAGAAGGAATCGCGGGTCAAAGGGAGGTAGGCAAGACCTAGGGATGTGATCCAGACAAGGCATCAGCGCTTTCGTCCGGATCAGAGTGATACTTGAGTATCTACTCGTTTCCTTCGGGGGTCTTACATCTGCCCTTAGCTCCTAATTCCCCTATAACCACCAGCTCTCCACCTGACCGAGGTTAGGTAGGAATTTTCCTGCATTTCCGTCTCCTATGCTGGACCTATATGTGTGGTTGGTTCTATGGCTTCATAGTGACCACCTTACTTATGGTCTGGACTAGAGGCTTCTTTGAGTCGCCTCTTGAACGAGGCTCCGGAGCGGGAACCATGGTGGGTGAGTATGATCCATTCTATATATATATGTATTTAATGTGCTGGTGGCTATGTGTGTATAATCCTTCTGTGAGATTTCTTTGGAGTGTTTTCCGGGACCTGTGTGTTTCTGTCCTTTCTAAGGTACGTCCTCTGTGAGCACCCCTTTGTTGGATTCACAAACCAGGTGCTCGACTTGCAGTGTTACCTTACTCGTCGATATTGTGTCCAGCCGGTATGATAGCCCTGGTTCCGGCTTCATGCTTCCTGGATCATGCGGCCAGGTCATAGGCTTCTGCAGGAGCCTTCTTGACCATCAGGCCCCCAGCACGACACTGCAAAAAATTCCTGGATGTCCGGGCTCTTGCTGAGGCATCGAGCGGGAAGTATAGATGGCATTTGCGAGAAACTTCTTGTGTAATGCTGTCTCAGGCAGTGCTCCCCTCGCCTTAGAGGGTTGTATTTGAGCTTGCCTCTCCCATTTGGCCCAGTACCTCCGGTTATCTGTGAACAGATGCCTGGAAATTTTAAATCCATGCTATGGTAAGTGCACACGCTAAGCTCTGTGCACTTTCTGAAATCCACAAAGTGGTAAGTGTGCACGTTGAACACTTTGCGCACTTTCTAAAATCCACAGTAGTGGTAAGTGTGCACGCTGAGCACTTTGCGCACTTTCTAAAATCCACAGTAGTGGTAAGTGTGCACGCTGAGCACTTTGCGCACTTTCTAAAATCCACATAAGTGGTAAGTGTGCACGCTAGACTTTGCGCACTTTCTGAAATCCTGTACGGTAAGGGTTACGCGTTATAGCTTCATTCCCTTTCTCTGAGTTGGTTAGACACCGGTACCTTGGGCTCCACTCAACCAGTGTGTCTCTATTTTTGACACACTTGGAAGTATCGCTGCCCTCACCATTGAGGGTTACTGTGAGCATGCTGCTTCCTATCGAGGGCCCGAGTTCTCTCCCCTTCTGAGGAGTTGGATTCCTCGCTCCGTGGGCTGTTCTCGTGGTAGTATCAGCAGTGCTCCCCTTTACCAAAGGGTTGCCTATGAGCGCACTATTCTTTTCTGAATTCAGAGTTTTCCTCTCATGTGAGAGTTGAGTTCTCTGTTTATCCCAGAGCACCTGGAACCAGCAGCATCAGGTAAACTAGGCCCTTCCTCTGCCTCTCTGATGCGCTGAGTTTTTGGCTAGCTTGCATTACACTTACCCTCTGATTTCTAACGATCATGCTGTGCAAGCCCCCTCTCTCGTTGAGAGCTGGGTTTGTGCTCCCTCAGCTAGGTAACTTAGTGCTAGCCGTTCCAGCATTGGAACATGCTGTAGGTCGAGCCCCCCTCTCGTTTGAGAACTGGGTGTGTTGCTCCTTCAGCTAAGTAAATTAATGCTAGCTGTTCTAGCATTGAAACATGCGGTAGGTCGAGCTCCCCTCTCGTTTGAGAGCTGGGTGTTTGCCCCCCTCAGCTAGATATTTACTGCTAGCCACTCCAGTTTTATACCTTAGATCGAGTTGATGACTCTCAAACATATTGGTTTTGGGATGCACCATTCCATCTATGAGCTGCTCTTTCAGAGTGCCACGAGAGCCCCTTAGAACGGTATCTTAAAATCCATGTTATGGTAAGTGTGCACGTGAAGGCTTTGTGCACTTTCTAAAATCCACATTGTGGTAAGTTCACACGCTAGTTCTTTGCGTTCTTTTCTAAAATCCTGTATGGTGAGGGCTTCGCGCGGTTGCTTCGTGCCCTTTCTTAAGCTGGTTAAAGCCCCGTTCACCTTGGGCGCCACTCCACATAGGTATCCTAGGATACCTACTTTAATAGGGTGTTGCTATTAGGGGTCTGTTGAGACAGTTCCTTTCAGAGCTTATGCAAGAGCAAGCGGTAGCCCCTGTGTGACAGGCCAAGACTTAGTGTGATACTAGGCTCTTGGTCGTATCCCCTTAAAGGAATCCATTATGATTCCAAGCCTTGAGCTCTACCACGGGCCCAGGAGTCTGGCCCTAACAGGTAAGTT